GAGCGAGGGCCACAGCCAACTGTGGGCCCCTCAGAGAGAGGAGCCGTGGACAGAAAGAGGAGGAGGAAGCAGTGGTCTCGAAGGCAATCGAGGCAGAGGCAGAAGCGGAAAAGAAGGGAGAGAGGAAGGGCAGGAGGAGAGGAAGGGGAGGCCGCTCTACTGGGACACTCAGGGCCCCTCCCCCAACAGCACCCTGCTCCCTGTGGCCTGCCGGCCTACTGTGCGCCAGCACCCAGAGGATGTGGCCGATCACTGTGGCCTGTGCCTTCCTGAGCCACGACACGGGAGCCAGTGGGCTGCCCAAGGGGTGGGGGCTTCGAGGCTGAGGAGGGGGTCCTTAGAGACCATCTATCCCAGTAGTGCCCCCAGCAGGTGCGTCATAATCACGGCAGAGCTTTTAAAAAGACAGATTCCCACCCAGATCTGACCCGGATGGGTTCTAGGAATCAGTATTTACACACTCCCCAGAGAGTTCGTGCCCTTTGGGCCTAGGTTTGGGCCACAGGGATGAGGAGGAGATGGTGGCCAGAGAAGGGCTGTGCCCCACCCGAGGTCACACAGCAATTCCAGGCAGAGCCCAACCAGGGCTCTTCCTCCTGGGTCAAGGCTGCCAGGTGGGTCTGCACAGTGCCAGGCACGCAGAAGGGCTTACGCGGGCAGCGCCCTCCCCCTTTCCCTCCATCCCTGCAGCCCCAAGGCCCGGCCAGCTCTCCAGGGTCTGCCAGGCAGGCACCATCTTGAGGCCCAGAAATCAAGTGGGAGAGAGGAAGGGATTTGCCCAGAATGGGATTTCTGCCCCCCTTCCCCGCCCCGTCCCCCTCGTGCCAAGGCCTGGGGCTGCGAGCCCTCGCCAGGGATGGGGGCGGAGGGTGGGGCGGGAGGGAGGAGGGGAAGACCTGGGTGCTTCCTGTCTCCCCCTTCCCCCGACTCCCTGGGCTCAGGGCTGGGTCCCCTGGGGCAGTGGTGTCTGAAGCTGACAGATCTGCCCCGTGCTTCCTGCCTGCTGGGGGAAGGGAAGGAGCTGGCTCACATCCTCCATCCCTCCTCGCCTTCCCTAGGTCCTCAGGGGCTTGGCTTCCCACTGAACCCAGCCTGGTCCCTCAGGGGCCCACGCCAGAAGGAAGAGCACTGGACTGCGAGTCTTGACACCTGCCTCCACCAGGGCGAGGCTGGAAAGCCTCCGCCTCACTCCCATCACCTCTCCCGGCTTCTCGACGCCCCGATTCCATCCTGGCCATTCATTCATTCACTCATTCGTTGGCAGCGCCAGCGTGCTAGGCTCTCGCTGGTCACGGAGGATCCAGCGTGCTGCCTCATGAAGCTGACATCCTCGCGGGGAGGACAGACAGCGCGTAACCAAGCTGGCGGTGAATGTGTAATCGTGAATCGCGTCGGGTGCCATGAAGGAAGAGCCCAGGGCGCTGTCAGACAGAACTCCTGGTACTGGCGGCTCAGGGGAGGCGACCCTGTACACTGAGCATCAGCTGAGCCCTGAGGGGGCACTGCAGGGAGGGGGTGTGAGGGTCCTGCCCCCACAGGGCTAACAGGAATGACGTGACCCAGGCCCGGGACAGGCCCTCTGGGGAGAGAAGTGGGGAAGGGTTTTCGGAGGGTTATCCCCCTGATCACTGAGGTGCAACGAGCACTTATTGAGCACCTGCTGTGTGCTCACGTGTCCAACCCTGAGCAGTTGGCAAGATGGGAGGCAAAACCAAAAGTGGGTCTTTTCCTGTGGAACCCTAAAACTCCAACTCCCTTACTGTACAGATGAGGGCATATGCCCAGAGAGGGTGGCTGACTTCCCCAAGATCACACAGCAAGTGTTGGGACCTTGCAGAGCCAGAAGCAGCTCCTCCCTCTGAACTGCCAAAGTGGAGTCAGTGAGACTTTATCTCAGGTTCCAAGTCCAAAACAGGAAATATTCCAACTCTGATGTCTCAGCTTGCCACCGGGTAGGGAGGTGCAACAAATACAAAATACCTGCGCACGGTGAAGCAGGCCCGGCCCAAGGTGGCCGGGGCAGGTGAGGCCCTCAGCCTGGTGCCTCGCAGATGTCACACTTTCTGTGTGACCCAAGGCCCCTTGACATGTGAACACACCCACAGCTGTGCCTGGGTCCCCTGCTGTGATCTCAGTAAGCTCAACTCTGCACCCTAAAAGGGGAGGGGATTTCTGGGAGTGTATGATATCCAAGACATGATTACACCCAAGACATTAGCACCCCCCGAAAATGCTGGGTGTTACCGACAGGTGAAATGACTGAAGGACGCAACTGCGTCCCGTGTCCGCCCCAGGCGCCATGCCGAGCACTTGCCGCTCCTAATTTTCACTTTGTGACATTCCAGGTATTGCTAGGCTGGAATTGTTATCTCATTTCACAGAGGAGGAGACTGAGGCATGGGAAGATTTCATAACTTGGCTCAGTGCCACCCCCAGTAAGCAGGGCAAGGGCCAGCCTTGAACTCTGGTCTCTCCGGCCCCAGATCTCGGACACGTGGTCACTCAGCTACCTTTTTCATTATAAAGTGACATCATCAGGCCAGGTGTGGTGGCTCACGCCAGTAATCCTAGCACTCTGGGAGGCCGAGGCGGGCAGATTGTTTGAGCTCACGAGTTCGAGACCAGCCTGAGCAAGAGCGAGACCCCGTCTCTACTAAAAATAGAAAGAAATTAATTGGACAACTAAAAATATATAGAAAAAATTAGCCAGACATGGTGGTGCATGCCTGTAGTCCCAGCTACTCAGGAGGCTGAGGCAGGATGATCGCTTGAGCCCAGGAGTTTGAGGTTGCTGTGAGCTAGGCTGACGCCACAGCACTCTAGCCCGGGCAACACAGTGAGACTCTGTCTCAAAAAAAAAAAAAAAGTGACATCATCAAAGAACAAGGAAAGTTTATTGCGGGGAGGGCCCTGCAGGCTCAAACACTAAAATCCCACCAGATCACCCATTTTCACTTTCAGGGGACAGAGGTAACTGTGTGAGAGCAGGAAGGTGCCAGCCTGGGCCCTGTCATGCCCAGCGCTGGTTCTGGGCCATGCCTTGAATAACACAGTAAAGTGACAGGGAATTCAGAGTGAGAAGACCCAGTCCTGTCGTCACCTCCTACACCTCCTAACCTGGGCCACCTTGACAAGCCCCTTCCCCCAAGCTGCAGGCCGCCAGCCAGAAGTGGAAGGACAAAGGCGCCCATTAGCCACGTGCAGCCCACCCTGCTCAGACCAGGGTGACACCAATGGGCCTATCCGATACCCCACCCCCACCCCCCTCCTCCCCTCCACCTTTGCTACTGCGTCAACCCTCGGGCAGCCTGCGCCATGCTGCCTAGCGTCCGGGAGTGCACACACGCATGACAAACTCCCAGCTCGTCCACGAGCTCCCCGAAGACCAGGCACACGCTCACCCGTCTTTACCCCGCAGACAGTAGAGCCTCGCCTAGGGTGCGTCCTCAGGGACCTGAGGGGCAAAACGCACAGCAGAAATGTCCAGTTCCAAGACTAAAGAGTCAGGCGACCTCAGTCACTCGCTTCCCTTTCTGCTTCGGTTTGGTGGCATGTCATCCTGTCCTTGCCCTCTCATCCTCCAGGGTTACTGGGAGCAGAAGGAGGAACATCTGGTGACGGCACCTTTGCGGGCAGATGCCAGATGCTAATAGCAAGAGCTGCCGTTTACTGGGCCCCACCGCGTGCCAGGCGCCCTACTGAGAGTTTACGCGCACTGTCTGCTTTAACTCTCACCACGATCTGGAAGGGAGCTGAGACTCAGAGACCTTCAGTCATCTGCCAAGGACACACAGCTAGTAAATGGGGGTGCCAGGGTTCAAACCCAGAGCACCTGAGCACCCCTCCACACCATGCTGCCCAAGCCACAGCCAAGCCATCGATCACTGACGTCACTGTGCACCTTCTACGTGCCAGGCACCACAGAGGAGGGTGAGAGGGACCCAGCTCCCAGCCACACGGCCCGGCAGGAACAGTGTCCTGCTGGACAGCAAGCAAGGCAGGAGGCAGCGCCTTGGCCATCAGGCCAGGTGTCCAGGCAGCAGGGCTTGAGCCAAGCTGCAGGGCTGGGAGAGAAGACACAGCGGCAGCTTAGGTCAGGGGGGTGGGTGGGGTAGGGATGGGGGTGTGGAGCTGCATGCTGGATTGTGGGGGGACTGAGGGTTGAGGACAGCACACTAAGGGACATCAGAGCTCCTCAGGGACACTTGAGAGGGAGGAAGAGGGAGGGAGAGAAGAGGAAGTAGGAGGACCCCAGAGTCGGAGGAGAGGAGTTGGAGGAGATGACTTCTTAGGAAGATCAGGGGCAGGGAGGTGAAGACTCGGAGGGCATGAGGGACACAGGGACCTGCTGGACAGGGGCTGCATTCTATTCAGCCCAGTCCTTGTCCCAGGCCTGACACGGAATAGTCACCCAGTAAATGTCAAACAGGGCTGAACGGAGCCAGAGACCAAGGCAGGGCAACCCTAGGGTACGAGACGTCACATCTTGGGGCCACAGTGCCTCCCAGTCCACGCTCACCAACTGCGTCCTCTCTGGAGTAGGCTAAAACCATGCACCCTCAAAAATTAATAATAGTAGTAATAAATTGAGGACTTGTGTTTTAAAGAGCGTTTCTTAACTGCAGAACTTAGAATTTTAACAAACAAACAGGCCCTGCATCTTTAAAAAGACGTAGGAAGCAGCGTTTCCCAAATGTGCTTGCCCATGACACTGTCTTTCAGGAGGTACCTGTCACTGTCCTGAGGACCACCACTGGACTCTTGTTCTGAAATATAATTCACGGACTATTAGATTTGGAAATGCCCTCAGAGATAATCTATCCTGCTCCTCGTTTTACAGATGGGGAAACCGAGGGCCAGGGAGGGAAGAAGGTTGCCAAGGCAACACAGGCCCTCTGCAGCCAGTGGGACTCGACCCCAGCTCTTGGGGCTGCAAGGGCCCAGCTCCAGCCACCCGTTCATCTATGCCAGGTTCCAGGTGTCCTTGCAGGTCTCTCCCATCAATCCCTGAGCTCCTCAAAGCCAAGGCTGGGCTCCGTCACCTCCTGGCCCAGCTCCTGGCCCACTGCCCTGCACACAGTGTACACTCACAGAAGCCACAGCAGTCTGGGAGGCGCAGGGCAGACGCAGGAAGGGCTTTCCAGCAGCTGGGTGTAGATGACAGGAACAGGCAGTCTCCTCTGAAGGCTTCTAAGAAGAGGGCAGAGGCCGGGTGCCCGAGGCAGCACTGGGCACTGGCCCCAGCTTCCTGGTTCCCAGAGAGGGTGGGGTTGAGAGGGAAGGAAGGTTCAGGCCCCAGGAACTGCCTCCCTGACCGGGGTCTGGGACCCTCAGCTTGGGCCAGAAGCAGGGAGGGGAGAGAGCCCCTGTTGGGACAGGCCCTGGAACGCAGTCCTCTTCCCTCAGGGCTCAGGCCCTCCACCTCCAGGAAGCCCCTCCTGCCTGCTCCAGTCTCCCTGGTCTTTTCCTCCCTAGAACTGTGACAGCAGCTCAACTCAGGGAAGATGAGCCAAAGTCCAGCACGACCCTGCCCTCAGGGGCTCCCAACAAGAGGTGAGACTGGCCTGTGCAGCAAGAAGGTGACCCACAGGCAAAGGTGCCTCCTCCTCCTCCAGCAATAGAGAAAGCAGGGAAAGTAACAGAGGAAGAGATTCCAACCAAGGCGACCAGGAGTGTGTCCCTGAGAAGAGGCTCTAGCTGGCCTGCAAGCAGTGAGCAGTGGCCAGCAGGTACAGAGGGAGGGACGGCACTGCAGGCAGAGACAGAGCCAGCGCTAGCCCCAGCGGGAGAGGAGGAGGAGGCCACAGGCCTGTGGCTATGCCTGGATCTCAGGGCCATAGAGCAAAGTGGCCAGACACTGGGCTAGGGGGTACACCACAGGTCCCAAGCCACACCCTGCCACCATCGGCTGGGTGAGCTAGCGTTGCTGAATCGATTTGTGCCTCAGTTTCCCTGCTAGAATGAGACTAACAATAGCACCTGCTCATAGAATTGCTGGGAGGATGGAGTCAAACGACAGGAGCCCTGAGAGCTGAGCCAGGCCCTCGGGAGCTGCCCTTTACTGGTAAGGGGGACGCTGCAAGGGAGGCCACGAGGGAGGAACTTGTCACACACCACTGCGCTCTTATGCTGGGATTCAACAGGCAGATTATAAATCCCTGAAGGTGCGTCCACAGAGCCTGCTCAGTGAACACTTGTGCACTTGACCTGACCTGGGCACTCTCCACACCTCCCAGGACTGGCCCGACACCTGCATTGTTTTCTCTAACATTTATTGAGCAGTTACTATGCTAGGTACGTGTGTGTGTGTGTGTGTGTGTGTGTGTGTGTGTGTGTGTTTTCTTATTTAACTCTCTCATCCACTTGGGGATATAGTGAGCATATAAAATCATCAACATTTTACACATGCAAAAACTGAGTCCTGAGAGGTTAATAGCATAATACGCCCAAGGCCACTTGGGTACCAGTGGCAGGATTTCCTGACTCCAGGTCACCTTCCACTATATCCCAGCCTGAGGATGACACAGTGCAGAAGTGGGGGTGGCCTAGAAACTGTTCAGGGGAGCCCCTACACATGCCCCAGTACACCCACTTGGACTGAGCTAAAACTCCCAGCATGGTTATTTTCTCTGTCTCGACCCTTGACCCCTAACCGTGGCCATCGGCCCTCTGCCGGCCCAGTGCATAGGCCCTCCCCTGCCACACCCTGAAACTCAGTATAACCTGCAGGCCGGGCCTCCAGCTCTGGGGTCCCAGGCCCAAACCCCCTCCTCTCCCCCTGGCGATTCCGGCTGTGGCAGGGGGCCACTCCCAGCCTCCAGGCTACAGGGACCCCCGTGAAGGAGAGAGCAGGGCCTCCCAGGGAACTTCAAAACAAGTAAACATGTCTGCACCTCATCCCCAGAAATTTAGAATTAACCAGTCTGTCTGAGTCCTAAGGTCTGATCTGGAAACAAAAAAAAAGAATTTAGGATCTGGGCTTCAGTATGTTTTTTAAATTCCACAGGCAATTCCAAAGGGGAGCAAGAACTAGAGCCAACCCTAGGCAGTTGCCTGAGAGCTTGTGAGGAAGGCAGGATCTCAGCCCCACCCGGAACTGAAGGGACAGCCTGAGAAGTCACCGAGGCCAGCCCCAGTCTCAAGCCAGCGCCCCGTGAGAGGCAGAAGGGGGATACAGCCTGGGGGAACTGGTGAGAGGACAGCCAGGACCCCCAGATTGCAGCCAGATGGCGCTTACAGGTGCTGGATGTTTTCCCTGCGTCCCCTCATCAGCACTGTCCTCTGAGTGAATCAGGAAGAGAGGCTCGTGCCATGTGGGGAAACCGAGGCTGAGGCAGAGGCTCAACTTGACCAGAACCATCCCTCGCCCCTGCATGGCCCCGGCTCTGCGAGCAGCAGATTTCCTGATCTTCATCTCAGTGTGTCCTGGGGGGCAGGCAGGGAGGAAGTGTGACCATCGCCCTGTGTGACAGATAAGGGACATGGGATCCAGTGTGGGGAACCCCAGTTCGAGCCTTCCACAAAGCAGGACCAGCGCCCCAAGGAAGAGGACTCAGGAGCTGAGGGGTTAAGGGTCACTGCTGACCTGAGGCAGCTCTGGCAGGCAGTGGCATCAGTGGGCTTCACATGTGACAGACAGATTCCTTGCCTCTCCTCCTCTCAGGGCCCATCTGAGTAAACCTGGGACCAGCCTTAACAGAAGCCAGTCGGAGAGGAAAGCCCTGTTTCTCCTGAAAGGCCCCCTCCGCCCACAGAAGGAAGCTGAATTCCTACCGTCACACTCGGGGCTTGGGCCCCCCTCTGCCAGGGCAAAAGCACCAGGAAAGAAGGCAGGCCGCAGAGCCCACCAGACACCACACCTCACCATGGATGGGGACAAACCCTCATCTCAGGGGAGATTTGATTGGGGAGCAGGGTAAGGGGGCATGAGGACCCTGGAGAAGGGTCAGGAAGGAGGGGTGAAGGGACCCCTTTCATGTCAAGCAGGGAAAACAGAGCAGGTGGCACTGCCCCATCAGCCCGGGGCAGAGGCCCAGGTGTCTTCAGCCGGGATCACTCCCCCTCTGAAAACTCCCCGCTCTCCAGGGATAAATGTGGGGCTTTCACCCTCCCCTGCTGGAGAAAACTGGATCCCCAGGGCCTGGGATGGGATGGAGGGATCCCAGTTGCCAGCATGGTGGGGAGGGATGTGTTCACAGCAAGGGACCCTCCACAACACACACAGCCCTGGTCATCTGACAGCCCTTCGCCCACACCCCTGGAGGCCCACCTGCCTCACCCAGCACCTTGCAGCAGAAAGCCCAGCACAGCACTGAGCAGAAGGTGGCGTCTGTGCAGGGATGAGGGGGGGAGAGAAAGAGAGAGAGAGAGAGAGAGAGAGAGAGAGAGAGAGAGAGGGAGGGAGGGCCCCCTCTGTCTTGTGTGGCTTCTCTGCAGACCCCCACCCCCATCCTGGCACAGCTGGGCCAAGGAGGGTGGGGAGGAGGCAGGGAGCTAGAGGGGACCCTACACCCCACTTCCCAACCCCAAGCCCTCTCCCTCCACAGCCACCCCTCCCTGCCCCAGGGGGTCTCTGGGCAGTCACAGACACAGCAAGGAGCAGGGAGGGCCTTCCCTGGAAGAGGAGGAACCAAGGGGTGGAAGGAGGGATGGGGACCCACCGGGAGAGAGAGGCCAAGCAGGCGGGCAGCGGGCGGGCAGCAGCGGGTGTCAGAGGCGGCTGCAGAGCAGCCGGGACTCCACTGGCTGGATGCTCGTCCCTCGTCCCTCTGTCCATCCAGGGCGGCTCCTCTCCGGGCAGTTCTGAGGCTGGGCGGGCGCTGTTAAAAAGCTTTTTATGTGTGTGTGTGTTAATCACATGATTGCCGTTCACCTGTATTTCGAACAAAGACAGCTCACTGTTTCAAGGCCCCGAACAAGAGTCTGGGCACAGGGAAGAGAAGGGAGGCGGGGGGAGGAGGGCTGGCAGCGCCGGGGGTGGCGTCGAGGAAAACTGGGGGGAGATTGTCCAAGGCCAGCAAGCGAGAGAAAGAGAAAACCCTTATCAAACTCCTAATTCACTGGGCTCCGAGGCCCCAGACACACTGGCCCGATTGTCTGGCTGGTTGTGTATGTGAGAGCATGTGTGCGTGTGTGTGTGTGTGTTCCAATGTCCGCTCCCCCCACCCCCAACATGCTCTGCCTTGTGTGACTACCTCATTGTGTCCTGCCACCCACCCCCACCCCTTGGCCTTTCCCAGGCATGAGGCCTTGCTCCCCAGACCCCTTGCCAGCCCCACTCCAGACAGGACCCCAGGCCGTGGGCCCGGGGCCTTGCCCAGCTGCTGAGGAACGCAGAACCACACATGGTCACCAGCGTGGCCCAGGCTGTGTCTGTCCCTCCACACACACCCCACCTCTGCCTCCTCACCAAGCGGGGCTGCCTACGGTTGAGAAGGGACCTTTGCAGGAGAAGCCTAGGCAGAGAAGAGGCCAGGGACCAGGGGAGGACGGCAGAGAAGAAAACTGAAGGGGCAGGGGGCAGCGAGGAGGGAAAAGGGAGGCAGGGCGAATCTACCCCTTCTCCAGCTGCCGGAGTGGAGGAGTCGGTGACAACCAGGACTGCCAACTAGGATGGGGACTCTGCCACTCTCCCCCAAGAGAGGGTGAGCTCAATGCAAGGCAGTTGTGTCCCAGGAAGGAGGACCCCAGAACACCTCTAGGACCTACTTAAAGAGGACCCCACTCCAGGCCCACCCCAGCCTCCTGGGAACTTTGGTCTGTGTCCCCACCTTGAGCCAGCTGGGCCGGGCCCCTGCAGGTGCTGGGTATCTGGAGAAAAGGGACCACAGGCCGAGCTGGGGCTGCTGTGCTGAGACCTCGCTCCTGCTGTACAGGCTGAGGCAGAGAGGGCAGCCTGGGCGGGGAGGAGGCAGGGTGAGGCAGGCCAGGCAGCAGCGCCGAGCACACAGTAGGCACTCAACAACTTTGCTCAAGTGAAGCAGCCCAGGCCAGCACCCACCCAGGTCCCCAAGACCTTCACCGCTTTACCTCTCTCCCCAGTCCCTGCCGAATGCCCATCCAGCCACCTGCGGCAGAGGTTGGGGGGCCCCACTGGGCCCAATTTTCCTCCAAGCAACAGGTTGTGACCCTGCCCACAGCACCCTCTTCCTTCCCTGGCCTGAGCACCCCACTCCTACGCCTTCCTGACTAAGCCCAGGCTGAGCCTGAGCAAGATGGGCTCAGGCGGCAGGGCAGGGAGCTGGGGGGGCCTGGGCCGGGTGGAGGAGCCCTGGGTGTTGGGGATGAAGGAAAGCGCTGGAGGCTCCACCTTCTGCCCTTCCCTCCCTCCTCTCCCCCTCCCCCCTCTCCCCCTCCTTCCTTCCCCAGCCCTCTGCAGCGGCTCAGTCGTTCAGTCAGTCTCGGGCTGTCCGGCCAGGGTGGTTGGTGGTAAGGATTCAGGCTCCGTCCTAACGAGGCCGTGGCCTGAGGCTCAGGGCCCCCCAGCCCCTCCCTCCCTGCCCACCAGCGTCACCCCCCAGCCCCGAGCTGGACCGCACACCTTGGGACACGGTTTTCCACTTCCTAAGGACAAGCCCCAGGCTGGAGGAGAGGTCCGAGGAGGTGAGTGCGCAGGCTGCTCCTCCCCGGCCCGGCCCAGGCCTGGGACCCTGCTGTGGGGTGGACAGAGGCTGACGCCCCGCATCCGCCCCACCCGGTCCTCTAGACTCCGTGGGGGCAGAGAGAGGGAAGAAGGAAAGGTGAGAGGAAAGGTGGGAAATTCCAGGGGCTGGGATTAGTGCAGAATAAAGGGTCCGTTTTTCTTCCTATCATCAACAAACCTCCACCCAAAAAAGGAGGTTAAAAAAAAAAAAACACCCACACCAAGAGACGGTTGGGACCAGGTGGTGGGAAGACGCGGAGGCGGGACGCACCCACCTAGGGTCTGGCATGTGCGCGGGCCCCAGCGGCTGCAGTGGGTTTAGCGGGAGCAGTGAGGGCCGCCACCTCGGGGCTGTGCCCGCGTCCTGTCCCGGCCGCCCTCGGGGCTGCACGCACTGCCGCTCCATCCATCGCGTTCTCCCTCCCGTCCAGGTGGGCGTTGGACTCTTTACGAGGACCCCGGCGGCGGGCCCGGGGGAGGTGGCCGAGGCGGCGGCTGCGGCCGGGGGCGACATGGCGGAGGAGCAGGACCTGTCGGAGGTGGAGCTGAGCCCCGTGGGCTCCGAGGAGCCCCGCTGCCTGTCCCCGGGGAGCGCGCCCTCGCTGGGGCCCGACGGCGGCGGCGGCGGCGGCGGATCGGGCTTGCGAGCCAGTCCCGGGCCCGGCGAGCTGGGCAAAGTCAAGAAGGAGCAGCAGGACGGCGAGGCGGACGATGACAAGTTCCCCGTGTGCATCCGCGAGGCCGTCAGCCAGGTGCTCAGCGGCTACGACTGGACGCTGGTGCCCATGCCCGTGCGCGTCAACGGCGCCAGCAAGAGCAAACCGCACGTCAAGCGGCCCATGAACGCCTTCATGGTGTGGGCGCAGGCGGCGCGCAGGAAGCTGGCCGACCAGTACCCGCACCTGCACAACGCCGAGCTCAGCAAGACGCTGGGCAAGCTCTGGAGGTGAGCACCCCGCCGCCCCGCCCGCGGCCCGCTAGCTGCGGGGCATTCAGGCTGGACTGGGCGGCCCGGCCTCCTGCCCCCCAGCGCGGGGCCTCCCTGGGCCTTCCGGGGCCAGCCGATTCCTTGGATGGGGCTGGAAGGCCAGGTGTGGAGACTGGGCCTGCCCTTCCACCACGAGTACCCGCTTAGGGTTCCGAACCTGGAACTGGGAACCCCTGCGGCCTAGGCCAGGTCTGCCCGCCCGGGCGCGGGCGGGAAGGCGCCCCCTTGCGGTCGGAATTCTGCCGGGGCAGGCCGTGGGCCTCCTGGAGGCTTGCTAGGAGGGCAGGAAGGATGGTGGGGCGCTCCACACCGCCGGCCTTCACCAGCTCCTTCCCCACATACACGCACACTGGAGGGGCCACTGCCACCGTCTCCAGTGGGCAGGAGGATGCAGGGAAACGCTTGGAAAAGAACTGAAGGCCTGGCTAGAGATGCAGGGAAACTGAGGCAGCCAGATGAAGAACTTGGGGGAGATTCAAGGAAAACAAGGAATTCAGAGGGGAGTCTTTGAAAGAGTGAGGGACGGAGAACTGCCCAGGGACAAATGTGTCTGCCGCTGCAGGGTCTCATCCTACCCCAGCAGTCTTCTCTGTGCCTTCCTGACCCCACTCTTCCTTGGGTTGGGGGCTTCTTCATCCTCCAGGGGAGGAGACACACAGAAAGGGGCCTCCCCTCCCGCCCTGTCCCACAGCCATGAAGCTGGTCTCGTTCTCCTTTCCTCCCTCTCCCAGTTCGGCGCCATCTTCCTTCCCAGGGCCCCACCCAACGTTGAGCAACCTCCTCCCCCCAGCCCCAGAGCTGGAGCTGAGCACCCTGGCCAGGAGGAAACCTTGGCCACCGCTTCATGCCCGGGGTCCTTCAGAGTCCCAGGGTCCCTGGGACCAGCCCAAACCTCTGGGGGATACACCCCCCCATGGAGGAAGTCTGCCAAGCCTCAACTCAGAATGTGTGGAGCAGGGCGACCCCCTGCCCCAGCCCAGAGTCCAGGGCAGCTGTGAGAACTTGGGGTCCAGGAGATGCGAGCCCACAGAGGTCACCTGATCCCCACTAGACTGCCCAGGAGGCAGGCCTAGAAAGGCAAAGGAACCACAAATGTCACATAGCAGTTGGTGGCAGACCCAGGGTCAGAACTCAGGTCTCCTACTCTTCTACCAGAGGCTTTCCCCCACGTTGTCCCTGGCAACAGTGGTGGGTCACCCTTCCCTCTAGGGAGAGGTCAGGAGTTCGTGGGGGAAGCAGGAAGAGGAGAGCAAGAGCGAGGCGCATCCGGGTTCCGGAAAGCTTGGGCTCTGTCAGAGGAGCCTGCCTCCCTCCTGCTGCCCTGCCCTTCGCTGGCCCCAGCACAGTGGAGATTGAGTCTAGAGGGCCAAAGGCCTAGAGTGGTAGAAGGAGCAGGAGGTTCCCCAAGGGACCAAGAGATTCCCGTCCAGCCCCCAGCCCGTCCTTGCCATGTGTTTGCCAAAGGCCTGGTGCCCCTCACTGCCCCCACAAGCCCTCAGCACCCAACAGTCCAGCTCCGCCCAAGAGCCGAGGTCACAGCTAGCTCCTCTGCCCAAGGTCCATCCAGATCTGGGTGGGGCTCGGCCCAGGCCAGTACCTTTGGCACATGAGAAACAGAAGCAGGAGAGACAGACAAACAGAACAGAGTGTGCCCTGGGGACTGACAGCAGACCACAGCTCAAGCCCAACAAGAGTCAAAGCAGGGACAGACCCCCGTTCTCCCACCATCTCCCATTGCCAAGGGCTTAAGATTGACTCTTCTGTTGTACCAGACCCAGTTACCCCAGCCCAGAACCCTGGGCCTGGGCTCCCTTCAGGAGGGCTTATCCCTGGCCACCACTCAAGGTCAGGGGCCACCTGGGTGGGGTGATCAGGAAAGCAGGCACTGCTTGCTGAGGACCCACCCCCCACAGTGAGGAGCAGAACAATGGCAAGGGTCAAGGGCTATGGCAACAACTGTGGCCACCTGGACCCTCCGTGGGAGTCCTGAGGGACATCTGGATGTGGGCTGGGCTGGCCAGTTGCTCCAGGGGCTTCTCCTGAAACCTCCCCAAGCTTCTGCCTGCCAGGATGTCAGGAAGAGGGGTGGTTAGGCGGGCAGAACTGGAAAATGGGGGTCCTAAAACTGAAAAGAGAAAGACATGCAGACAGGCTTGGGGGGTGCCCCCAGGCATGTGGGGTCACACACGAGAGCCTAGATCCTAAGTGGCCACGTGAGCTCCGACAGCCCCACTAACCTTTGATGTCCATCTGGGGAAGGACTACTGGATGTTGATCACAGGGTGGTGGCTGTGCATTGGTTGACCTGCCTAGAAAGAACCAGAGCCCCAAAACTGGAAAGGGAGTCACAGGCTGGAGACTCTCCCATGTGGTGGGGCTCACCTGGCCTCTCCTGCCCCAAGTCCCAGAGGCCCTTCCCCAGGTAAAGTCTTCTTATGCCACTGGCCTGGCAGAAGGACAGATACAGCAGCATCAGTCCCCACCTCGGGAGTCCCCCAGCTGGGGCTTCCAGTTTGGGTGGGGAGCCAGCCTACCCTCTCCCCACCCCATTCCAAACCTGGCAGACCAGGAGGAAAGAGGGCTGATGGGAACGTGCAAATGAGCACTGAGTTTGGAGTTAGAGCTGGGGTGAGTGGCAGGCAGGGTAGGTTTGGGGTGAGCAGAGCAGGGGCTGGGGCTGAAGGTGGCTGCGCTGGTGAAGGAGGGGGCTGAGCTTAGGGCTGGGGTCGGGCGGGCGGCCGGCTGTGTGGCAGGAGTAGGTTTCTGTCAGGGTTAGGCTACTGCTGGGAACTAGCTTGGGGGCGACGGTGGGATCCAGTGTTGGATCTTCCCTCTCTCTGGCCCCTGCTGTTTTCTTGCTGATTGCTGGCTGCCAGCTGGGCAGGGACACAGGGAAGGGTGCGGTGCAAGAGTGAGCTCAGTGTCCCCAGCCATCCCAGAGCCTCTGCTCTGGGGCCCCGGCTGCCTGAGCTGCTCCCCCTCTGTGATTCTCCCCCACACCCTCGGGCCTGCTCCACCCCTCCCCATCCCAGCTGTCAGAGAGGGCGTCTGCATCCCACTTCCCAGCGCCCGAAGTCCTGCCCTGGGGTCTCCATCCTGAATGTGTACACTGAACCCGATGGAGCCTGGGTTGGAGGGACCCTCAGAGAAAGCGGGGCTGGGGCGGAGCAGGGCGGGCCGAGGAGCAGACAGGAGGCTAAGCTGCAGCGGAATGCTGCCGCCCTAGGAGGTGCCTGGCATGACCACCCCCTCCCAGCCTGGGGAGGGAGGGCTGGCCTTTTGCTGACTGGGGGGAAGAGGGCACCCACTGGGGTGTGAGGGTGGGGCAGCTGGAGAGAGAGGGAGGCCCTCTGGACAGAGGGTCGGGGCTGCTCCCACCAAGACATCCCTTGGTCTTGGACTCTGTGAATCTGTGGACGTCCCCTCAGCCCCCTCTGCAAGGTACCGCATCCTGCCCTCCTCACCTGGGGCAGCCAAGCCCGAACTCCCCCTCCATCCTTGAACCCTAGTCTGAGGCTGGAGTCCGTGGGCAGGGGCACCAGCTTCAGAGCTTCCTCCCTCCGTGGGCTGGTCTTGGAGACTGTCCCAGGGTCTGGGAAGAGAGTCTAGCTTCCTCTGCCTCTGTCACCCCTGGACAAGGATATAGATCTCCCTCAGGAGGCAGTGCCTCCCACAGAATGAAGGGCACTCACACCCCGCCCCTCAGACGCCCCACACTGGAATTCACAAAATCAGTATTCCAGAGTTGAGGGGCCCACTGTAGGTCCTGCCCAGCCACCCACCCAGGCAGCATTGGAATAGCACCTCTTTCTCAAAGTGCTCACCTCCCCTTCTCAGGCCCTGGTGCAAAGCACTTCACAGCCATCATTTTGGCCAATCCCACACCCCAGTGAAGCAGATATTATCATCCTCGTTTCATTGGTGATGAAATTCAGGCTCAGAGAAGTAACTTGCTCAAGGTCATACACACAGCTAGTAAGTAGCAGAGACTGGGCTCCTTCCCCAGCCATGCTGCTTCTCTGTTTGCACACCTCCATTCCCAGGGAGCTCACCCCCTAATGAGGCAGCCAATTCCACTTCCAGACAGCTTTGATAATAAGAAAGTTTTTCCTTTCCTTGAACTGGCATCTGCCCGTGGTAACCTCTATTCCTACCTCTAACTCCTCCTCAGGGGCTGCCAGGAGCAGCAGGTGACTGCTCTGTCACCCTCCAGGGGCTGAGAGATCACAGCCCTCATTGGGGCCTTACATCTCTCAGTCCATAAACCACAGGGCACAGCCCTGCCCCAGGCCCTGCCCTCCTGTCTCCCAGGACCAACATTCAGAGGGAAGCCAGCCTGGGGCACTCTGGCACTCACCCTGGCCCCTCTGCTGTCCTCCCTCCTGCCCACCCAGGCTGCTGAACGAAAGTGACAAGCG